CCTTGTAATGGAGTGGCTCCCGTGAGCGCCCCCATTTGGCTGAGTGCATGTGCCTGCACTGCCTTCAGTCTTCAGCCTTTTCGGCCACTCAGCCCTCCAGCCGAGTCACACAGCCTTGTGTGAGATCACGATTCCTTCCGGGGTAGATACTTTATCAGGCCCTCTCTAGTCTCTCCGTTTCTTTCTTCACTCAGGAGACAGTGCTGCCTCCAGCACCTTTCCTCCTAGGGATAGTTTCTTGCCCCTGGCTCCGGACTTTACCTCAGTTTATCATAGTTTCACAACAGCTCTCCACGGGGAGCTGTCCATTGTACCAGCCTTTTCCCTCCAGGTCTGGGCCTGACCTTCTCCCTTCCAGGTCTGGGCTGCAACTGAGCTGCCCCTTGTCCTGCAGTTCCTTTTGTAGACCCTCCTGGCCCCTGATTGGCTGGTTCCTCCACAGCCACTCTAGCCTCCTAGAGGACTTGTTGATGGCCTTTTTCTGAGGCAGGGTGTGGCAGGTTCACAGGGCTTCCAGCAGGTGGCCTCAGAGCCTGGTCCACCTCGTCGCACTCCTTGATGAGGGTTTTTTTAATTTTGTGTTGCACGGCCCAGTAAAACTACAAGCATTAGTGCACCAAGCCACCTAGATAGTGTCCAACGAGTTACATTTCTGTCCCATTTTAAAAACAACCACACATAACAAAGTATCTTAGGGATACTAAAGGCTGCTTTTGGCATTGACCTTGTTCTTGGTGTGAGTTGTGCCATCAGCGTAGCTAGATCATAAACCAGATGTCAAGTCTTTTTGCATTTCCTCTTCTGACATTTGCTTGATCTATTTGAGCACTTTATCCGTTTCTCACTGCTCCACACCCCCTTGCTAAATAACAGTAACCCCCAAGGCAGGGATATAACCAAACACAAATGCAGTGCTTTTTGCGTAGTTTAATTTCAAATGAAGAAAATCTGCCCAAGACTGTAGTCTGTGTTGGATTTTAAATGTTCTCAGTATGTCAGCTTGAGCTAAACTGCTTTCCCTCTAGAAACGGTTAATGATGCAGTCTGGATTTTTGCCCTGCTGCAACACTTTTCCTTTTTTAAATCTTTAAACTTCTGGCATGTGGGGATCTGTGTAATATATACTCAGTGGCTGCACAGTACACATACCCTAGCAAACAGATGTCTGCTTCTAGGGAGAGCCATACTTCTGGTAATCTCAGGAGGACACTGTAATCTGCAAAATTACATTCCGCACTGGGTTTATTTTATTGTTAAAATTTCTCTTCTTGATGCTCCGGATCTAGGATCTTTAGAAGGGAAACAAATGGTTCAAATAATTATAGAAGGCGCTAGCTCTGAGTGGATGTGGATGCTACACGCTGTTTCATTAAACCAACAGACATTCTTTAATGTATGAAGATTTGTATATTCAAGGGGAAGAGGAATGAGGTTGACAAATGTTACCAATATCTTGGTAATTTACACCCAAACCTACATGCAGGCAGGAGCCGGGTAGCTAGAGATGTAAATCATCAGTTGGACTAGGTCCTAAAAAGGGAAGAATTAGTTCCTGAGTAAATGATGCTCGGATATAGGAATGGCAGTGTGGTTCAGTGGCTAGTCTAAGAACCAGGATATCTGAGTTCTTATCCTGCCACTGTTGTTGTGTGACCTTGGTCAAGTTACTTCATCTCTCTCTTTTTTTTAATCTCCTTTTGCCTTTCTTGCAAAGTCTGACTTGTTGTGTGTGTACAGTGCCTCGCCCCAGGGATATGAGCTGAGGGCTCTAAGCACTAGGATAGATACTGATACTGTGGTTAGTCAGCGCCAAGAAGATTTAGAGGGCGTATCCTGCCACTGTTGTTGTGTGACCTTGGTCAAGTTACTTCATCTCTCTCTTTTTTTTAATCTCCTTTTGCCTTTCTTGCAAAGTCTGACTTGTTGTGTGTGTACAGTGCCTCGCCCCAGGGATATGAGCTGAGGGCTCTAAGCACTAGGATAGATACTGATACTGTGGTTAGTCAGCGCCAAGAAGATTTAGAGGGCGGTTGAGGACAGACCAGAAACTGCCTCTTCTATTGCTGCCGCTGTCCCTTGTTGGCTGAGCTTGCAAAGGCCGTAACCCAGCTCAGTGGCATTTCTCTGCCTGTAATATAGGAGAGGCAGAGTGGCTGTGGTAATATCGTTTGTTGCACCACCTGCTGTTGGGGGCAGAGACAAGCTTTTGAGCCACTCCTGGTTCTTCTTCAGGTCAGGGAAAGGTCTTGGAGCATCACAGCAAAACACACGGGGAGCAGACATTCGGTACTGGCATTTTCCTGAGATGGGGGAACACCTTTCCTAGGCCTGAAGAAGAGCGCTGGGCTTAGCCACACTGCTCAGCTTGTGCAGCTGCGCTGTTGGAGCACGTATTGAAGACACCACGATGCAGAGGGGGGAGGTTCTCCCATTGGGGCAGACCCGGCTTCCCGTCCAGCTAGAGCTATCTGCACCAGGAGTTCGGCCAATAGAATTGTGGCGCTCAGGGGTGTGTCTTGTCCACACCCCTGAGTGATGTCATTTTACTGCCAGAAGTTGGTAGCGTAGACCAAGCGTGTCTCGCGCCAACAGCAGTCAGTCCTATAAAAGATGCTGCCTCACCCGCCCTGCTGGCTAGGTGTGACCTGGCTACCAGAGCACTGCCTGGATCTGTAACATCGCAGCCCTTCCGAGCCTCATGGCCTGCTCCAGGGATCTGTGGCCAAAACCCTCCTGATTTGGAGGAAGGGGGAGAAATGGGAGCAGTGAGCTCCAGCCTCCAGCATCTCTGCAGTGGCTTTTGTAGCTCAGGCAACTAGTGGACGGGTGCCCATTAACAGCCCTCCGCGTAAGACCCCATCTCGTCGCCGCTCATCCTCTCACAGAGGGCAGCGTGCTGACACGCAAACGACTCAGGCCACAGTGCAGCGTGACTGCTCCTGCATTTCCCCAGCAGCCCAGCAAGCAGAAATGTCCAAGGTTAACAGGTGGGGGCTGGAGCAGCTCCCCGCCTGCCGGGGGCACCGGGCTGCTCCAGCCCCCCGGGGGACCCATCATGGAAGGGGCTACTCCAGTCATCCAGAACAGTCCTTGTGATGCACATAGGCCCGTCACAGACAGGGGAGGGCTGGAGCAGCCCCTGCCTGTGGTGAGGATCCCCCCCGCTTCCCCTTTAATGGTTAATCAGTTAAATATGATCTTTAACCGGCTAACCAATTAAACAGGATGTTCCATCCCTGCCAGCAGGGGCCCCCACTCGCAGGTTTCCCGCTCCCCGGCCATCCCTTCTCTTGGGTGGAGACACGCGTCTCTCCCTTCTCACCGGGCTATCTCCAGGCGTATCTGTTCCCTGCCCGCACGGCGGGGTGCCCAGCGGAGACAGGCTGCCCCCGCAGGCCTGCCTGTGTTTTCTTCAGCGACGGCCAACAGGCTGACGTGCCCACAGCTCGAGACACCTCCCCTCCTCCCGTGCTGGTTGTGCCGGCCCATTTGATTCTGAAGGGAAAAGCACCACGGAGAAGACACATCAGAATACTAAAAGAAACTCCCTGCACATTGGCGATCGCCCCGAGCCCGACACTGGCTCTGCTAGGAGCAGTCTGTCCGCTCTCCATCCACAGGCTTTCCTCTGTGCTCACCAGTTGATCACAGCTTTGGCTCGGGAGAAGCCAACCGTTTAACGAACCTTCAGCCAACCGTTTAACGAGTCCTCAGTAGGCCTGGTCCTTCCAGCCATTCCTTGAGAACCGTGGCACTCCGTGAAGCAGGGGGTCCTGTCCGTTTGCTGCCCGGGGAAGAAGAGCCTGAGTCCCGTGACAACCAGGCTGTTTATCCAAAGATCCTTTCTTGGTCGGGTGCCTGGAGAAGGCGGTTTGAGACCAGGGGTGGTTTCGAAGGGGCTGATAGCCAGAGGGGTTTCCCCCTCGAGGAGCAGCGCGCAATGGCACATACACAATTGCGCCTCTGGTACCATGGACCCCGAAGGTACTAAACCTCGTTCCCAAGAGGCTTCACTTCATTGAGTAGTGGGGTGCTAAGCAGCGGCGCCTGGCGCTGTCCGCACCCTCCGGAAGGCACTGACTGAGCACGGTGGGGGCTGGCCTGGCTTCTCCTCATTTTCAAAGAACGAAAAGTTTGGCCGCAGGCGCCCATGTGGGAGCCGAGTCTGAGTCGCCTCACTGCCTTGCACCTGGGTTGGGTTGTAAGGAAGAGGGTAGGTGGCCTGCAGTCTCACAGGCGCTCCCTGGGTGTCTGTCCAGGGGCCTGCCCTCCTGCTGGGGTAACCTAGGGCAGATTCTGGGGTGCTCTGAGTTACCCTCCGCTTCCCTAGGCCTCTGTCTGGTGCGAGCCCCAGTCTGGGCTCCACTTGGGTGCTGAGCATCCTCGGCAGAGCAACAGGCCTGGTGGGGGACGGATCTAATTTCAACATCGGCAGTGTGCAGAGCCGCCTTTTCTCCTCCATGGCCCCTTCTCCCAGCACTGAGCTTCTTGGCCAGGTTCCCCAGCTCATGCTGCATCGTAAGTGACCCCGCAGTAAGGGAGAGGGGCGCGCAGGAAACAAATGTCCAGGATACAAGAGCTGAACAGAAGCCGCTCTCGGTTTGATGGTGCTGGGACCGTCATTTACCCATTACTGACAGCACGGAGGATGGGAAGAGCCGGTTCTGGCGAGGATTGGGGGCTGGCTGCTTTGTGGCGTTAGTTTGCATGGCCCCCTCAGAAAGGAGGCCTTCTGGCCAAAAGCCAAACCCTTCCCTGTTGCCCTGGTGTAGATCTGGAGTTACTCTGGGTTTATGCTGGTGTAATCAAGAGCAAAGATTGCTCCTGAGTTATACTGAGAGTTCCTGCCTTTGAGGTGCTCAACAGACACAATGGGGTTCAGGACTCGGGCTCGGAGACACTAGGCTAATATCACCTCCATAAATGACTGACCCAAGGGAGCGGGTGCCTCTTTCTCCCGCAGCCAGGTGCAGCTCAGCCAGCCCCTCTGCAATGACACGTCGGGGTTCCCCCGACTCTGGACCCCTGTAGCAGCAAGAGCAGACTCTCCAGCCATTAGAACAGAGGGTTTATTGCTTCTGCAGAATACAGCAGAGCACAGACGTGACGGGCGTACAGGAGTCAGGGCCAGGATGCCTCCGACCCCTGGGGTTAGGGTCCATCACCCCTAGCCCCTCAGCCCTCAGCTTAGGCTGTTCCCTTCATGTTTCCCAGCCAGGGACTGACCCTTCCCCCATCTCTCACTTCTTTTGTTCCATCCCTTCCCTTAATCGGTAGAACTGGTCCGGTCACTGTCATGGGGGCCCTCAAGACGCCCCCCGCTGGGCAGTGCTCACAGACAGAGGCCAGTAGGGGTCATCCACAGCCCAAGCACAGCAACCAGCTAGGTACTGACACAACATCACAGCCACAAAGAGGACAGAATATGGTATTCGAGGGGACCCCCCTTGCTAACACTGAACACACTGGCAGCAGAAAACGCCACGTGCTGTTGAAGATGCAGGCAGGAGGGAGTCTGTGCTTGCATTTCTCAGTGTGGGGAAACTAGCTTTTTAAGAGCAGCTGTTCCAGGGGGAGATTCTCCTGAGGCTTTGGCTCATCAGAAATATCAGCTTTTAATGGGAAGAGTGTTCTGAAATCTGGAAAGGAGTTTTACCCAACTCTCTAGTGTCCGAGTCCTCGGATATTAACTACATGCTGCAGTAATTGGAGGTAATGTTGGTGGGTGAGGAGGGGCGATTTAATCCACCATGCTGCTGCATTGCACCTCAAGAGAGGAGATGGAGCCTAGATCTGACCTTTGGGGAAGCCTTCACCTAAACTTTCCAGCGTGGGTCTAGCTCTATGAAGGACAGGAATGAAAAAATCCCATTTGGTGCGGCTGAGTAGCAAGGCTGGCTGTGTTTGGGTAGATCAGCATAAACAGCATCCAGCTGCATTTCATGATAAACAATGAAACGTTGTGTGTGCTTAGCAATCCTGTCTATTTCCATATGCCTGTGTAAATGCTGGTGAAGATATGGGGGTGGGGGGTTGCTGGCTTTCAGAGAAAATGTGTAGGCTCCCATTACAATGGACTGTGGGTAGGGAAACAATTGTAATGTGCAAACGGTTCGGTTTTGTTCCTAGCTGGAGGGAACAGAAAACCAAATATATCTACAAAGTGCAGCGGGGAACGACAGGCAAGG